ATGATTCTACTAACTTAATTTGCCTATCAAATAACATAAACAATGTGGTCAAAAATAACTATTTTCGACCATAAAAACTCACTCCTCCTGAATTGTTCACGTTAAACCGCCACACAGATTTTACCGAACCTTATATTTTGTGATGTATCATGCATATTTTTCTTGAACCCCTAAAAGTTATTTAGTTTAGAAAAATTGCTCAAGCCGTAATTGTTTACTCTTCTTGCAAAGGTGCAAGTTAAAAAGTTGGAAGCTCCACTTATTTTTCTCTGCCTAGTTCAACAAGTATATCTAATCTGATTAATGTTGCATTTACTTCAGAAAGGACTTTGCTGGGCCTTAAGGTGCTTCAGCTATTGTTTATCTCACTCCTGTTCTTTTAATCTTCTCTACGTAATTTTGAAAAATTTTCACTTCAGGTGTTACCATCGCCTGAAGCCTATCATTTACAACAGTGTATAAGAATATTTGTCATCAAATGATTTTCTACACAGTTGTCACTGTGGTTTGGGCCCTGGGCACTCAACTATTTACTCTTTGCCCTTGACACTTGACAAAAACAACGTAATTTTCTTTCCATCGCTTTCAAATCGTCGTTATTAGTGGGTGGTGATTACTTTTAGTCCACCTATTGTTTTTTTTTACGGAGTACTTCATATGAGTATTCTTGGTGCTATAAAACAAAACGGTTGCTTATGCTGACATGTTGCACTTTATTGCAACACAAATTCTCCTAATCGCTTTCTAGCTGTTGCTTGTATTTAACGGTATGTAAGCACCCTGCAGCAATGGTTTACCGACTAGGTAATGTCTGAAACCGATAAAAGACTATATATTTGCAGCTAAAAATATTAAGCTTTAAGAATGTTCATCAGAACTTCCAAAAGTAGCTACCTTTAGTAAAGAAATTCTTAGCTGATGCAATATCAGTGGTTTGGTAATGTTATCATTTCGCAATATTGTCAAGGGAAGAACCATATATCATAATGTTAAAATAATATTGCATTATTTTTCATATCAACAGATTTTGACTGTTTGATTGTAAGTGGTGATGATGAATGGGAAAATGAAGTTTCTTCAGTGTTAAAAAAGAATAACCTAAACGTAATCTGTAGAAAGGACCTTACACCAGCACCTGGTGAAAAAATGCATGACGCCTTAGTACAAGCAGTACCAAAATCGAAAAAAATCATCATTGGATTTAAAAGCACAGGATGGAACGGTTTTCCAAGATATATGGCAGGAATAGTTCTTGACAGACAGTGTCGAATCGGTGATGATTTTGGTGTGCTGGTACCTGTGATGATTTCAAAAGATGCCGTTGTAGAAAATACCGTGAAGCAATTTAATGTTCTCAAAGCATTCAACGATGATTTTTTTGTACATCTTTTGAAAATTTTGAAGGAAAGAAGTAAGATATTTTAATAATATGAATCCAGATCCAGCAGTTGTTTCCCACAGAAATGTTTTTTTCAGTATATTTATATGTACATATATATATATATATATATACAGGTATATACCTGTCTCTTATACACATCTAGATGTGTATAAGAGACAGGGAAAAAAAAAAAAAAACATGCATGAAAATAAACACACCAAACACCAAAGTCGGTTAGGCGGTTTAACCGTTCTGCCTGATCTGGTTACATATACATTATTTTCAATGTTAGGTACAGTTTGTGTATGATTATTAATTACTGTCTTTCTGTCCTTTTTGTGCTGATTCTCACAACTCTCTTCTACTATATCATCCGCATCTCCGATCATTGGTTCTGTGAACTTGAATGATTTCCCAGTTTTGCGAATATGGCGTCTGTTTCTGCGGTATGTTCCTGATGTAGTTTTCACGATGTATGAACGTGGCTGGTTTGTGGTTCTTTGAACTATCGCTGGTTTCCATTTTTTAGAGCAATAGTCTTTGGTTCTGACACTTTCACCGACTTCCAATTTTTTCAGCAGTCATGCATGCTGGTTATACTGAGTGTGCCACATTTCAGAGCGATTAATATTTGCTTTATTTTTTCTGTGGTATCGCACGATGGCAAGTTTGATTGTAATTTCCGTCCGAAAAGAAGTTCGGCTGGCGATGGTTTTCCTCCTTCAATAGGGTTTGTGCGTATAGACAGTAATGCAATCGCTGGATTGCTTTGGCTTTTGTAAGCTTTCTCTAGAGTTTTCTTTACAACACCTACATATATCGTTCTGCCTTCCCATTGCATTATGGAAAATGAGGGCTGCTTGTGGAGTGTTTGAAATCGTATTCCTTTACAAATTTTTGAAATTCACCTGAGTCATATTGTCTCGCGTTATCACATACTCTTGGTATCCCAAACTCCGAAGATATTATCTTGAGTTTGCTCACATTGACATTGAGGTTGTTGAAGTTAGCTTGCGGACAATAACAAATGAACTATAATAATCCACTATGAGAAGATAATCATTTCCTTTCCAGTGGAAAAGATCTGATCCTATTGTGTCCCACGGCTTAGTTGCTTCTATGTGGATCAGAGGTTCTTTCTGTTGAGAGGTTTTCTTGGCAAGACTCGCATCGCTTTACCATAGTTTCGATGTCGCTGTTTATGCCAGCCCAATATACGCTTTCTCGCGCTCTCAATCTACACTTTTCAATGCCCTGGTGACCCGTGTGTATTTTGTCAAGAATCTCATGCTTCATTTTTGTTGGAATGACAGTTCGATTTCCTTTTAGAACAATTCCATCATGCACTACTAGTTCGTCACGAAAATTTCAAAAGGCAAGGATTTGCTCTGGACATTCGTTGCGATATTCCGGCCAACCTTTTGTTATAATTCTTGAAAGGGTCTGCAATTGCTCATCATTAGAGGTTGCTTCTCTGATGTTCTCAATTCTGGAAGCAGAAGCATTTACTATTTCATCAATAGTGCAGTTAATTTCTTTGAGCTCTTCGCCTTTACATGGAAATCTTGAGAGTCCATCTGCTACTGGGATATCTTTGCCTGGAACATATTTAACTGTATAATCGTATGGTTGTATCCTGAGTAGCATTCTTAATAATCTAGGTGGTACATTTTTCAGATTTTTCTTAGTTATCGATTCTGGTGGTTTGTGGTCTGATTCCACTGTCACATGTCAGCCATAAATGTAATGATGAAAGCGTTCCAATCCGTATACTACACCAAGCATCTCTCTTTCAATGTTGCTGTTGTTGCTTTCAGTTTCTGTGAGGCTTTTGCTCACATATGCTACAGGCTGTGCATCTTGCAATAGTGTTGCTCCTAATCCTTTCTGACTTGCGTCTGTCTGGATAGTGATTGGTTTCTTTGGGTCAAAATATGCTAGGACTGGTTGTTTTCCTATCTCTTCCTTTATCTTATCAAATGCTCGATCATGTTCAGGTCCCCAGACAAATTCTGAGTCTTTTTTTATGAGATCGCGCAAGGGGCTTGTTAAAATAGCCAAGTTAGGTGTAAAACGACCTAGGTAGTTTATCATTCCTAGTAGCGAGAGTAATTCTGCCTTGCACTTTGGTGCATGCATCTCCTTTATTGCGGTAACTTTCGCACTGTCTGGTTTGAGTCCTTCTGAGGTTAGGTGGTGTCCAAAGAAATTAATGCTTTGCTCTTCACAAAACATTTGTCAATGTTGAGTCTGAGACCAACCTGTCTGGTTTTCTCCATTACTTTCTTGAGATTTGTATCATGGGCTTCCTCATTTTCTCCAAAGACTACGATGTTGTCAGCTATCCCTACAACACAACATTTAAATCGTCGAAAGTTTCATCCACTTTCTTTTGAAATACACCCTGTGCAGATATTAGCCCAAAGGGTAATTGCTTAAAACAATAATGGCCATATGGAGTATTGAATGTTGTCAGTGTTTCAGAGCTGTCATCTAGTTTAATATTCCAGTAGCCTGATCGTGCATCAAGCTTCGTAAAATACTTTGCCCCTTGGAGTTTTGGTAATAAATCATCAAGTGTCTGTGTGTAGTAATGTGGCCTTTTGACCCGTTTGTTTAAGTCCTGTTGTGATTTCGTATACGTTGACTCAACACAGACACTGGACTCACGTACGTCTAGTCTCTACGATACCTG